AACGGTTAAAACAGATGACTAGTGCTGTCGTTACCAGACATATACTTGTCAACACTTTCAGTTGTTTCATTTTATTTCCTTTCTTAAAATAGCATATCCTAGAAGCAAGGAAAAGGGGAAAAAATATGTAATAAATAAACAATTATAGAAGGAAAATAAATATTAAACATGTGTCGCCTCCTTAGGGACGCCATTAACATTCAATATAAAAACGATAGTATCAATGTTTAAATGTTATAGATATCTAGAAAACAACAACAAAAACAAAGATTTATGAAAATAACTTTAGGTGGTGTCGGGGAATCGACCGGTTTCCTCAAAATCAGTCTATTAAAACTTTAATGAAATAACATCAATGGGAGAATTACCATCCCAGAACCATTAGTTTCGTCTCAGTTTTCGGAGGTTTCACGATGGTCGTCATTTTGTACACGTTCTTCTACTGTCGATTTTGCATTCCTAGCAAATAACATATCGAAAATGACTGGTAAGTGATTATGTTTGTTTGAAACTTACCACACGTTCCTTATTGGCATTCACATATACTGTAGTGCAGCTATTTAGGAAAACAACAATCATAAGCTTAGTTATGGAAACCTAAGTATGGAGACAATATTCAACTATTAGTGTAATGATATATGGAACTTGTAAACGAGTACCTGATTTCCGTAATGTCCATTTGCCTTTGGTCTTGTACATTTCTTAATGTCGTCTAGATGTGTACATACGCATGGAGGTCACATAACCATGCTGCCGGTTCCAACCGCATGGTTCACCGCTCGCATTGTGTCAGCATATGTGATCAGTCGATTTAAAACAATCGATGAACCTACTATTCATGTTAAAGCATTACAACAGTATAAAGGGTATATAAATAGCACACTAAGGTATGCATTCAATTTGTAATAACATTGTGACGTTATCAAGTGAACTTTTGTTGACTTGAAGCCCTCTGTAAGGCAATGTGCATTATTCAACCATTAGTAATATCCCCTGGTAGATGAGGTTCACTCTTCAGCTGAGGACTATGGCTAGTCTCTATCATTTATTAGTAATCAATATGATAATTCTTATAAATACGTCATTAAGGTAATAGGATTGTGTCACCATTTCTGAGTAGATTTTTTTTCAAATTTTGTAGTTATATTGCTTTGAAGTAAAGAAAACTTTCTGCCACAAAAAAATACAGGTTGTCAGAATTTTAAATGGAAACCTATTTAAAAAGGAGTGAATTTTGAAAAAAACCATGAAAGACGATTTTTGGCAAAATAATGTCAACACAAATGATACTGCCATAGATTAGTATTGCATTAATGTATATCAATTTAATAAATGATGAAATGGTGTAAAATAAATGATCTATAAACGATTTTTATAAATGGGGTGGACGCTTTATAATAAAACCATATACACAAAGTAATTTGCATGGAAGAGTTATCTTTCTTGAAAAACTTCACAGTAGAGAAATAGGTAGCCGGTTTCCTGAAGTACAGAAAAATAGACACATTTGACTCATTGATAAAAAAACAACCTGAATTAATGCCTGTATTGCTTTGAAATACTTTAATATTGAGAAAACAAACAGTTCTGTCAACAATAAACATACAATATTCATCAGTTTAATATTAAACATTAGAATATGCGGAAATTGTGATACTGTCTCCCTACATTGGATTTTCAACTAGGGATGTACTTCCTATTTCCGTTTATCAATACACTCCTATGACCTTAAGATATTTATACTTTTTAATAAAAATATTATTTCTGAAAATTGAATGCTAAATTAAAAGGAATGCATAATATTGTATTCTGCTCGGTTTCATTAAAAGTATTGCCGTGATGTAAAACAATTGATACAAGATGAACGTTTAACATTTGGTAATGGATACAGTATGCCAAAAATGAATTACACTGCATCGTACGGCTGTTTCGTCCTTCTAGGAATCATCGGAAGCTAGGGACCGAAATGTTAGAAATCCGAATTGGCTAAACTAATATTGAAACAGAGGGGCAAGAACTACTTTATTTATTAATTTAAAAATTTAGAGAAGTACAAATTAATAAAAATAGCTGTTGTGCTAAAACATTTTGTGAAACAAATCACCTGCTGAGATAAAACCAACTAAAGTTATAATATTCCACTACCAGAGTAACTAGCGATACTACTCGGTGATATTTCACAAGAAGTTCCTTTGACTGATATTCATCCTTGCCCGGATATTTATTTTATATTTTGAAGTTATTAACTTAAGACAAATTCTTTAAAGTGTTTGTGTTATTATTGTCTCAACTTTAAAAAAAAAAGAGACAAGATAACGGATTCATCCCTGGAAGTTTATTGTGGCACACTTGCTAAAAGATATGGTGTGACGAGATACAAAGCAAAACAAACTGGGCATGTTTGGATATTACAAATATATGCAAACCGCTTCATCCGAAATATGAAGTGTTTGAACAATATTATTTTGTTCCTTGCATTTAAAACGATGTTCATGATAAAATACTGATATTACTGCAAACGCTAAGGAGGGTTAGATGATGCAACCCATTTTGAGATTTCGCATGTAATAAGAAAATCTACCAACCTAGTAACACCATATCATAAGTATAACTGTGGTTGTGCCTCCTCTTGAACTGCTGGAGAAGTTGTTCTTTGCTCATAATCACGCACCTTGAATTGTGCTATAAACTTTCCAGGATACAAGGACGTTCTGACAATCTCCGCTCCATAAAAAAAATGTAAAAGGTGAGTTCGAAACAAATCAGCCGTACTTAGACGTTCGTGTTGTTGTCACTGTCGGGCCATGTGACTGTGGTGTGACCATTTTCACTTCCTGTTTGAGCCCCTGTATGACTGTTGCTGTCTTATATTCGGATGATGACGTTCTTAGAAATATCCTGTTTTTTTCTACTCAATATCGTGTTTTTTGTGTGTGTTGTTGTTGCTGATTTAAACGTGTACGTTTCAATGGCTTCCTGTTGGGCTACCAAACCCATAATGCCCAGATGACGGTAGGTTTCTTGTGCCATCTATCTTTCCAGCGGCACCAAATGTTGCCACAACTCTTAGATTCTATTTGGTTGATTCTTTTGTCCTTCAGCTTCTCTCTTGTCTTCTTCATTATTGACTAGTCGCATAGTATAGAATATACAATCCCAACTCGTACGCGTTCCACAACAATTCCCATTTTAGAACTTTGCTATTTTAGTTTTTCAACTTTTACTTTCTCTAACAATAGAACATGTATTATTAGTATATAGTATATTTATATTAATCTATCAAATAATAAAATAACATAGATTTAATATATTTTTGGTTTCTTCTGTCTTTCTAGAATATGGTGACCTATCGGTTGTAAAACTGGAAGCTTGTTTATTATGCTATGCAGTCAAGATACGTTTGTAGTTTTAACACTTTCTGAAACATTACTGGTTATACATGTACTTTCAAACTGCTCCAACTCCCTAAAGAGACCCGCAACCTATAATGAGTGTCTTTGTCACAGCTAGCTATATAGGCACCTGTCGTGACTGAGAAAAAATACTTATACACTTAAAATAGAAATGTAATGAACTCGTCCATGGCGAAAATACACATATTTTTTTAGTTTCTAACTGCTGTAACATCGGCGGTATTTCGTGGATTTGAGCATACATGGTCTTAAATTGAAGGAGAAGAACCAGTCTTCAAATCAAGCTATAGCATTACATCGGTTCTCGAAAGTGTGTGCACACATTCGGAAGTGGAACTTCCATAAACATTTCAATTTTGTTTAGTCGGACAACTACACGTAAAAAAGTAATGTACACTATATGTAACAGGCTCAACACATTTCGACTAATGGGCACAGCCTCAGATAAGAAATATACTCGGAGACTAGTCTATATCCTTTCCATGCTTACACTTATTCGATAAATTAACAACTACAATTTTCCTGGCTTACTTTCATTGTATGCGTCTCCTGTCGTTGGCCCCGTGGCCTCATCAGGGCATAACAAATGAGCCAGATATCCAACGTGTATCGATTATCGTGAAAAAATTCAACGATTAGGCCTACTCAGTGATCGATAGTTTATATTTTTTATTGTTATTAACGAGTCTAGATCACTCTGATTTTATCAATTATCGTTAACTTTCAAAATATACATTTATTACGTCAATATAACGAGTTTATATCGTCTGATACACAGAAATAACGATGCTTTAATGTGGTGTACGAACTTTCCGGAAAAGGTGTACGAACTTACACGGTTCTGTACGGATTTACCCGCCTCCAACTTTTATTCTTCAAATAGTATAAACTGATGAATGAAGCCAGAGAGTGAAAATTAACCCGAACATTAGAGCTTTTCACTGAGGAGTCCTTTGGTTCTTACGGAAAGGTGCATAGAAGCGATGTGATTAGCGATCTTGTCCAAAGGTGTACGAACATATACGGACGCACTCTATTATACGCTGTTGTCGTTATATGATTTGGTTGTATATATGATTGAATTTTATCGTTATATTATTTAGTTTCAATATCATATTATATGCTTTCGTCATTATATGATTTAGTGTCATCGTTATATTATTCGATATTTTATCATTATACCATTCCGTCATCATATTATTCACAAACATCATGATGATTGCACAACTTCATTATATTATTGTACAACTACGTTATACCAGAGACCTAAAGTAAAGGTCCCGTTAATTTAGGTCTATGGTTATACGTTGGATACGATTCTGACAAGCGTCTCCGCGAATCCGAAGTAAACGGAACTTTTCACCGGGGCGTTTTTCTGCCACGTTACTACCGCCATTTCTGACGAAAAGTGCTACCGAAGCTGTGCATAGTCTTTTGTAAGTATAGATCTAGCAGAGACGTATATAACACAGACTTTCCTATACGTCTCTGTATAGAGATATCAATGGTGAGGGTAACTGGTAGTGGACGATTGAGACGCATGACCGTGAATGATCTCAAAAACGGCAATAGACTTGTTCAAAATAGAGAAAGCTGATTTTCTTGGCACGGTATGATATATCAAAACTGTTCATCTTGGTCTCCCCTGGCGTGTAGCAGAATATGACTTGGCTGGATGGCGGTGGCCGGCAGGCCTAGCTCAAAAACAGTTAGAGCGTCCGTCTATAGTTGTTCGGAGGTCCTGATGTAACAGCCACTTCTTACCACCCTTCCACCCACCCTCTCAGTGAAAATAACAACTAGATGATTTTTTCCCCTCTCTTTATTTTATTTGAATTGATTTTTAGGGAGGGACAAACTATTAGCAACAGATTTTCCCCCTGATATTGATTCTTAAGGAGGGGGAACAACTGTCTGGTTGGTTCTCTACCCCCTTAATTGGCATTGATTTGTGGGTGGAGAGGGGAGGGAGCAGGAGGGTTATTTGCAGGCAGATTCTTTCCCCCATGGAATTGATTTTAAAAAAAGGGGGAACTATTGGTTGGCTGATTCTTCCCCCCTCTCTTCATTAGTAACATGGGGGAAAACTATTGGCTAGTTGATTCTCTCCCCCTCCCCCCTGTATTAGTAAACAGGGGAAAATACTGAGGGAGCCGCCCCACAAAACAATAAGTTTACTAACAATCCAATAATTGTCTCCCTTTATATACCAATACTAGGGTGGTGTGTGTGTGTAACTAACATAACTAATGGTCTCCCCTTTTAACCAATAAAGAGAGGGATTCGGCAGTGGGAGGAGTAACTAATATAACCAATGGTCTCCCTTATTAACTTATACTAGGGGGGGGGGGGGGGGGGGGAGTAACTAATATAACCAATGGTCTCCATTATTAACTAATACTGTGGGGGATGGGGGTATAATATAACCAATAGTCTCCCCTATTAACCAATACTGATGGGGGAAAGAATCAGCCAGAAATTACTTCCCCCGTAAGCCCAATAATGTACAGAATTTGTTTGTAAAAATAAAAATTTCATGTCAAAGCAAAATAAGTATTCTCACTTTTGTAGGGGCTGTCGATGTCAGTAATGGCACTACCACATGGAAACAAATTGACAGATATTAGATTATGTCAACAAACGCCTCATTACAAACCCTTGGTTTGGAGACAATTGGTGACCGTATATGCTTCCAAGAAGCACTCAAGAGGTACAAAGGTAAGGTGTCCATTGTCCAAATGTAAACCAGATTAACACTGGTGTTTTAAGTAAAGGTATATTCCGCACAAGTTTGACTTTCAGAAAATTTCTGTCTGTTCTGTACCTTTTGAGAACCCTTTTTAATGAATTTTCAAAGTATTATCTGACAGAATCAAAATATCTCTCATGCAGTCAGTTTGGACAAGTGAAATTGGTGGGAATATCCCTGGTCAATTTAAAATTAGACCGCCTAAATATAGCTTATTTATCATATAATGATTTTGAAAACGAGCCAACACACACAGCAGTGACAAGTTGTATTTATCCTGAAAAGGAAATACTACACACATATTTATGTGTGTCTCAAACTTTAGCTCGATCGATTGAGAATCAGACTAGCAAGCCAGAGGTCCTGGGTTCGATTCCTAGCGGGTACATTGAAATCAATATACCCGATAATTAATAATGGCCTCTTATATGTCACAAATAGATACGATAATGATATGCACGAAAATTGCTTGTTGCTACATAATAAGGGGTCAAATCTAATGTTTTCAATGTAAATACTGGAACAACCCAAATTGGGGAATCTCAACTGAATGCTTACTGGATCATAGATTTATGCAGTTGACTTGGTAAATACACCGTGTACGCTGTTCACTTATAATTTCTGCTTGGAATGCAATTTTATTGCTTCGTTAGGCATATTTCCTGTTGATTCTTAAATGTACAAAAATATTTCATACTGTTCAGCTGGTGACCTCCTTATAGTCCGAAGGCACTATCGGTCCCAAGGTCCCATAGTCCGAAACTCTGCTGTATGACCTCATTTAGAAAATTTAAGTTGCCTCGATATATATATATATATATATCGTTCATATACTTAACTGTGCTATACTTCTCTGGTNATCGGTCCCAAGGTCCCATAGTCCGAAACTCTGCTGTATGACCTCAATTAGAAAATTTAACCTGTCGTTAAGTTGCCTCGATATATATATATATATATATATATATCGTTCATATACTTAACTGTGCTATATTTCTCTGGCGGAAGTAACTTTATCAGAAGAAATCGTAAACAAGAGGCCCAGAGGGCCTGTATCGCTCACCTGAATATGTTTAAAATAATTGGTATGAAGTAAAGATATAGCACTCCATGGTAGGTGCTGTAAGTACATATGAAATTTCAGAAAGATCCATCCAGTACTTGAGATATAGCGAGAACAAACTTTAAACAGAGCCCCATCCCTATGCCCCTAGGGGGGTCATACCCTCCGTTTATACAAAATTGAGAGCCCTTGGCCCAAGGATGCTTCAGACTAAATAAGGATAAAATCCTTTAATCCCGATGGTTGAAGAAGGATTTTAAAGGTTTTACCTCTATTTCCTATTTGGTCCCGCTCTTCTGGCCCCTGGGAGACCACACCCACTGCTTATACAAAATTGAGTCCCCTTGGCCCAATGATGCTCCAGACTAAATTAGGATATAATCCCTTAATCCCTTGGTAGAAGAAGGATTTTAAAGGTTTTACTTCTATTTCCCCTTTTGGGCCCCGCCTCTCAGGTGCCAGGGGGGGCCCTATCCACCGTTTATACAAAATTGGTTTCCCTTTACCCAAAGATGCTCCACACCAAATATGGACCAAATCCTTTCATTCCTACAGAAGAAGAAGGATTATAAAGAAAAAAATGCTATGTTTCCCCTACTGGGCCCCGCCCCTCAGGCCCCTGGGGGGTAAGACCCATGGTTTATGCAAAATTGGTACCCCTTCACCCAAGGATGCTTCAGACTAAATATGGAATAAATCCTGTCATTCCTACAGAAGAAGAATGATTTTTAAGAATTTGCTATATTTCCCATATAGGGCCCTGCCCCTCAGCCCCCAAGGGGGCCAGACCCACCATTTCTACAAAATTGGTTTCCCTTAACCCAAGGATGCTCGACACCAAATATGGACCAAATCCTTTCATTCCTACAGAAGAACGAGAATTATAAAGAAAAAAATGCTATGTTTCCCCTGCTGGGCCCCGCCCCTCAGGCCCCTGGGGGGTAAGCCCCATGGTTTATGCAAAATTGGTTCCCCTTCACCCAAGGATGCTTCAGACTAAATATGTAATAAATCCTGTCATTCCTACAGAAGAAGAATGATTTTTAAGAATTTGCTATATTTCCCATATAGGGCCCTGCCCCTCAGCCCCCAAGGGGGCCAGAGCCACCATTTATACAAAATTGGTTTCCCTTAACCCAAGGATGCTCAACACCAAATATGGACCATTCCTACAGAAGTAGAAGGATTTTAAAGAAAAATTTGCTACGCCCCTCAGGCCCTTAGGGGGCCAAACACACGGTTTATACAAAACTGAGTCCCCTTGGCCCAAGGATGCTCCAGACTTAATAAGGATAAAATTCCTTAATCCCTATGGTAGAAGAAGGATTTTGAAGGTTTTACCTCTCTTTCCCCTATTGGGCCCCGCCCCTCTGCCCCAAGGGGGGCCACACCCACCATTTATACAAAATTGAGTCCCCTTGGCCTAAGGATGCTCCAGACCAAATTTAGTCAAAATCTACTTGGCTGTTCATGACTAGTAGCGTTTTAAAGGAAAAGTTGACGGACGGACGACGGACGCTGTGGTATGGCATAAGCTCACCATGGTCCTTCGGACCAGGTGAGCTAAAAATCATCAACTTAATTACAATAAGTGAGGGGGGGGGGGTTACGAGTAATGAGTAGTCTGCATAACCAGGTTTGTGATAGCACAGGATCTCGACAGTTGGTTACAGTCTTGGTTTATTTGGGCCTATCCCGATATACAAAAGCAAATGGATCGAACTTAAGAAGTATGAAAACTGATTTATATTTTTGTTTAATTTTATTAGAAAGAGGCCTAATAAGATATTCGGTAAGACCTTATATTTAATAGCCCACCTGACTGTCCAATGAGCTAGAGATTAAACAAATTCTGATTCATACCCGGAGGCCCAGGGTCATGATATTGGACAAGTAGCCTACTGGAATGATTGACCTGGACCTACTTTCAAGGTCACAGGGGTCAAATGTGTTAAAATTTTGTTAACAACTTCTGAATAACTGAGAGTCAGTGCCCCCGACTCACACTCACAGGGTCATGATATTGGAACTGGAGTATGCTGGAATAAAGGGGCACCAAGTTTGTTAAAAGATATGACATTGACCTACTTGAAAGGTTACATGGCATGAAAATGAAAGTCTCGATCAGGAGTATATGATACACCTAACAAAGTTTATATATAAAAAGGTAGGTTTATTTGTCTCTATTTATGTTTCAGGTCTTAGCATCCTGCAGAATTGTACTTTACCTAACTTCATTCCACATGATATATTGAATGAAATGTTCTCTGATGAGAATCAAGTTCTCGCTGTATTCAAAATTTGAGGATGAGCTTGGAATTTATCAGGTAATTTTTAGTAAAATGGTAAAACTGATTAAATATTTTTAGACCACATCATTGGATTCTGAGCTGTTCAAATAGCTCATCATCAGTGATCCATCTGTGTGTATTAATCACTGTCTAAAGAAATACTTAATGAATTATTGTACGTTTGATTTTAGGACTGATCAGAATGGCCGACAGACAGCCCTCTTGTTTTAATTCATACATATAACTACAATAAGGTTTGTATCCCTTATAATCTGTTTAAAACAGAAATCATATACAAGTTATGGTTATATTTCTTTTAAAAATGCTACTTCTAATGCTCAACTGTACATATTATATATATATGTCTTTGTAGATTGGTAATCGTGTCCCTGCATTTATCTTCCTTCTGAGACCAGCCAACAGAAAGCTTACAGTAAGTTGACACTTTATTTGAAGCTGAAGTTTTCAGAGACAGGTTCCAACAGCAGGATCCTAGAGGGAGCAGTATACTCAGCCTTTATGAGATATGTTCGTGAAGTTGCCAGTGAGTTATATCATTGTTGGATGTGGAAGCAAGACTTATATGGTGTCACTTTTGATTTGACTTCAAAGTTTTGAATTTATAGATCCATTGCTCAAAAATACTTGTCCAACCTTAACCAAACTTGGTATATATAGTTATTTCAATTTCAACACACCATCATTTCTTGAATACCATAACACATTATGTTCCAGTGACTCTGGAAAATGGGGATTCTGGGAAACTGGACTTTTTAGCCCACCATACCCACCATCTGATGATGGTGGGCTATTCAAATCGTCTGTCTGTCATCCGTCCGTGAACAATCCTTGTTATCGCTATTTCTTGAGAAGTACTGGCAGGATATTTCTCAAATGTCACATGTAGTCTGGTTCCCCTTAGTCCCTAGGTGTGCCCATTCAACAGGCAGCCATCTTGGATTTTGACAGTTGAAGATTGTTATCGCTATTTCTTGAGAAGTACTGGAAGGCTGTTTCTCAAACTTCACATGTAGGTTCCCTTTAGTCCCAAGTTGTGTCCATTTAATTTGAATTCTGTTCGGGGAAAACAAAATGGCCGACAGGCGGCCATCTTGGATTTTGTCAGTTGAAGTTTGTTATCGCTATGTCACAGAAAGTTCATCTTAGATCTTTCTTTGATTTCATATGAAGGATTTTCTTGTTATCAAATTATTAACGGGAAATTTAAAGATGAAAGAACGGAAAAGTAGAGAAAGGGATCAGTTCTACATGAAACCAATGAAGATCATTCAAAGGTGGGCGCCAAGATCTCTCTGGGATCTCTTGTTAAGGTGAACTTTGAGATGCAATGCATCAATATTTATGCATGTCTATAACGTAAATAAGGTGCTCGCATACTTCAATTACTTTATTAACATTGAATTTTGTTTGCATCAAAACTCACTTTAAAGTTTTGGGGTTAGTTTTTGGAAGGTTTTCAAGTCCATCAGTATACATCCCATACCCTATAGGGTATATATATTAAATCGTTAGAGGTCTATGTATGATAGAATGACAGCTAAATTGTATTTGCTTCGCAGTCTGTCTGTCTTTAAACAATTCTTGTTATTGCTCTTTCTTGAAAAGTACTGAATGGATCATTTTCAAATTTCATTGTAAGTTACCCTAGGTCAGTAGTTGTGTTTATTTTAATTTTGGAACTAATTGTGAAAAATAAAAAAGCCAACAGGTGACCATTATCACTATTCCTTTAGAAGTATTGGGTGGCTCATTCTCAAATTATATAGGATCCATGTGGTCCCTAAGGTTCGGATCCAATTTTGGAATTAATCTGAGAATCATCAAGAAGTAATGGATGGATTACGTAACCTTTGATCATCCAGTATGAATATTGAAGTGACNCCTGTGGGACTCCCATTTCCTGTTTAGACGTTTCAGAGAAAGTTGGTCAAGGTCATTTAAACTAACTTTGTAGCCCTTTATCTCAGCATGCTACTGGCCAAATATCATTACCCTGGGCATTTTGGTTATTCAGAAGAAGTTGTTGAAATTTTTTAAACATATTTGACCCCTGTGACCTTGAATATGGGTGAAGGTCATTTATTTGAACAAACTTTGTAGCCCTT